TGGCTCCCCTAGTTGTGCCAACCGCGTGGTGCAGCCAGCACTGCCCCGGCCCGTCACGCTGGAGGTAATCTAAAGCCCACAGCGGTGCCACCTGCTTCAAACACTTTCGTTCCTGGGAAGTTGCGCCTCAGCGAGGAGGGAATTCTGAACCTCTTCCCTCGCTTGGATTTTTACAGCGGCCTCCTGTCTCCCTGCCTCCAGGCTCGCCGCTACTGTCCCTTCACACAGCTACCCGACTGCCCTTCCGAAAACACAAGGCGAATCCCCACCATGTCCCTGCAAAAACTTCCCAAAGGCTCTGCCCTGCCTACCACCAGGACCCTAACGTCAGAGCCATCACTGCGGCCATCCCAGGACGTGTTCCCGCTAAGATCCTGACTGAAGCCCGCGCGGCCGGAAAAGCCCTTACCCACTCGAGGGCTTAGGCTTGCTGGGGTAGGCGGGACCTCCAACCTTCTGCAGCGGTGAGATGGCATTCACCTCTATGTCCCCAGCCCTGCCCAGGTGGCAGGGAATATTTGCTGAATGAGCAATTAATTGATGGACATCCTAAACTCCTCATCCGTCCCCTTGTCTGTGCCCTGTTCTGACTCCAGGCTTGTTCTGTGGGTGCTACCCATTCTGAAGAAAACTCCTTTTATGACCTGAGGAATTTATAGAAGCCTGTGTGTGGAAGATGGGAGGGCTAGGAATCTCTTCTTGGTGAACACAGGTAGGCAGAAATGAGTGGGAGGAAGGCAAGGAAATTGGTACAAGTGATGGAGTGGTGGGGCACGCTGGGACTGGAGATGAGACAAAAGTGTACCCTTATGCCCCGAGCCTCTCAGTTGCGGAGCTTGGGCTTGCATCCCTAGGACTGGGGACTGTGCCCATGGGTGGGTATTGTGATACCCCTATGATCCACCACTGGCAGAGGGAACCCCTAGAGTTCCCCCCCAGGTAGCCTTCAAAGGGTCCAAGTCATGGGGGGGACATGGGGCTGCTCTGGCAGCCAGATGCTCTTCCAGAGGCAGCCTCAGACGTGCAGTGGGGGTGGTCCAGG